TCCTCTTCCCCTCCAACCCACCCTCCATACTGCCGCCAGAATGTTGCAAAAGGCCAAATGCGATCATCTTACTCTTGCTGTTTAACAACTTTTATAAACACATAAGGCCCTTTGCCTCCTTATCCAGGACCAAAAGATACTCTAGGCTGCAGTCACACTGAAACACGCTCATGGCTCCCATCAGCCTAGAAAGCCACAGATTTGTTTTCAGATCCTATTTTTCTGTTTGGGTAGTCCTAGCTAAGAACACGGGGGTATTGGGAAACACAAGGGCACTGTTAAGCCACAGTTAGAGGCACAGCCCGAGGAACTCCTTTTACCTGGTGCTCTTTCAAGCAATCTGTACCTGCCTAATGTCCCTGACAGGTAAAAAGGCCACAGGAGTTGGACTACAAGCAGCCCTCATTTCTGGAGATCTACCTGATTTTGGAAAGCTTCTGTTCCCTTTTTGGTGCTTAGGTACACGCTTATTGGTTGAGTGAATCATAGGCACCAAGTATGAAGCCATATGTCAGGCACAACAGAAGGAATGAAGGAAGGAGGAATCAAAGTGCCTTCCTTTATGGCAGTCTTTTATCTTTATATACATGAAGAGCAAGTTTACCTCTATAATGAAGTAACAGAAGACATTTCATTGCACTCACCTCAAGAGCTGCTATTCAGCGGCAGCAGATGTTTCTGTGGTACTCCTTCATAGCTTACCTTGAACTATTTTTCTGCCAGAGTCCTCACCTGGAACTGTAACTCAATGGACTCTACACACACAACTCACACCGGCCTCAGTAATGATCAGTGATAAATGACAAGAAAAGCTTGATCAACCAGCAGATGGGGATGACAAGGAATGGAACCGATTATTCCAAGCTATTTAACCAAGTACTAACTCACATCTCAAAATGACTAGGCCTGTGCTCTTCTGACCAGAACACCGTGCCTGCACGAGCTACCCTTCCTAAAAGAGCACAGAACATGTTTTTGGCCAGGGCAATGTGAAGAAATGGGCAGGAAATGCTGTTTAAAAGTGGCTCTCTAGACCAGTTCCAATACTGAGATGGGCACGTGGTAAGAACTCCATTTCAGCATTGCTGGCTGATGACGTCTTTGGTGCAAGAAGAATGTCCACACCTTTTACATTAGTAACTTGAGTGCAAGAGTTTCTTTTCTCCCTGAAGGCTTTTCCTTTATGAACTCCTCTTCAATCATCCATCTCACTTAATCATTTTAAGTCGACTTTTCAATAACCATGGTAGGCCCTTGAATTGACAACACAGCACATACACTTTGTCAAAGTACCAACTCTACCCCACTGGCACTTACTGACTGTGGTAGAATTTGGTAGAACCCTGCAATGCCAGATTAGCATATTTGGTTAGTTAGGGGTGGCAACCACGTATCCCTGCAGCTAAAACAAAATCTACAATTGCTCCTAGGAGTTTCTTCTCTTCGTATTCTAGTCTCTCTCCCAGATTCTTGCTCACGGAGAATCAAATGCACAGAGGATCACATTACACAAAATTCACAGGAAGTTTACCATCAAGATCTTCCTTGATAAAAGAAAGTATAAGAAATCCCTAATGCCCAAGATATGGAAGGGACTGGAGCAGTGAATCCATTGAAAATGGAGCTATGAATAAAGAACGATCTGGCTGCATTACACGAACTGAACATTGTAAGGGAAGATTGAATTTACACTAATAGAAATCCATCCTCTCTAAAATTCAATACATGATGTTAGTTTCTCTTTCCACAAACAATTACTGATGGAATACACTTAATGTTTATTTTACTTGAAACATTCTGACAAGCAATAAACTGAGAATTACAGAACAGTCAGCGAAAAACAGGTTGAGGGTACATCATAGACACTGGGAATGAAGATTCTGACAGTACAGTTAAAGCTCAGAAGTTATAGTTTAGAAATACAGAATGACAGAAGAGACATTAAAGCCGTCCTAAGTTTGTAAGAGTCAAGAACAGTATTTTATAGAAATTCAATTAATTTTAAAGTATAATTTTTCTTCCTTAAAAACCTCTTCTGCAAATAACAAACATGATGGGAGTAAATCAGCCTGTTAGAATGAAAGAGTCTGAGAGTTAAAAGGGATTGGAGTTCTATCATCCAATCTACTCCATTTTACACACGAGGAAACCGAAGCCCAGTGGGGAGCTCTGCCTGGGCAATAAATACTTAAAAGTTGTACATACTTCCAGAATAGATGCTTAAGTTCATCTCCATTTCATGAGATACACTGCCAGTTGCCCAGACAGTAACTGAAAGACATCACATTACAACCTGAGCCCTGAATCCAGCTGTCACTTGGTAAACTGTTGCAAAAAGGACACATAAAAGGTAAAAAGACAGCACTACTTTTTAAAAATGTGAATCTTCCATTTTAGCTTTAGAAAGCCCTAAAAAATCTTCAGAAAATCTTATAAAATTATTCTATGTATAGGCAACTTGTAATCAGAGACTGAAAGAAATGTGTAAGAAATGAGATGTTTTCATAGCCCTTAAGGATCTGTGCCATCTTTAAAGGGGCCAGTTTGTATATACAAACGCAATACTCCTATAGTATACTCCGATTTTCTAACTCTGCCCTTAATGAGGAATATATAATGTTAACTATCTGCTATGACCATTTTCTAGTGATAGATTTATAATTTAGAGGGAAAATATACCAAAATATTGGCTTAAGAGGAGCCAAATTTACCAGTGCTTTGTGCTGTCTTATCAGTCGTTACTGTACCACACATAAAGTGACCATGACATAAAATCAATTTAATACAACGTACTGAGTGCCTATTACGTGTAAAATGTTCAAATTATTTGGCTGGACAATATCAGGTCAAATTTAAAGCTTGTCACTTCAATTCTAAATAATGTGGCAATACGTTGTTCCAGAATTTTTCGGAACCTGGTGGCCCATTTTCTAAAACTTGTTTTGACTGCACTGGCATTTTGAACCTCTGTACCTTGTGCTCTTTCCCCTTTCCCTCTGTGTTAGTAGTAAACTTTTTGGGGTATGCCTTATTTTTGTCATATCTCACAGACCCTTTGATTTTGCTCACTTTGTTGGACTCTCTTCCTTCACCCTGCCTTTCCTGCTTTTCCCTCTCTTCATCTCCTATCTCCTTGTATTTCCCTTCTTCTTCCTCATCGTCCTCTTTGTCTTCCCTCTCCCTCACTCCCCACTCTGCTTCCTCCCCCTCTCCTTCCTCCTCCCCTTCTTCCTCTTCCTTGTCCCCCTCCCCTTCCCCCCCTCTTTCTTCCTCTTCCTCCCCCACCTCTTCTTCCCCCTCGCCTTT